GAGAGCCGGCAGGACTCCAGCAAACAAACACTCAGTCACAAGTGTCCTAGTCCAAAACTTATCAAAAGTTTTTTGTGTTATTCTGCACAACATTAATCCTATTATGATGACTAATTATTCTATTACATTATTGTATTAAATTATATTACATATATTATACACACACATTTATGTTTACATTTTGGGTGTTACTTGCCGTTTCTTTGTAATTATTTGTGAAATTTTCTAGCAATTTCTCAGTGAAAATGGTTTCAGAGTAGATTCTACACCAATTTCTTTCTCCTGCCCTGTGTGAGTGTGTTATACCTGCAGTTTCTTTGTGATAATTTCAAGTAATTAGATCCCACAATTAGAATTGCCAGTTGCTGAGTCGTGCACCCGAGCAAAATCACAGTGCTACTTTCATGTCTTTTGTATGATTTTGTGCAGTTTCTTTTTTTCATACCAATGTCAGTTAGAATAGCTATTTGGAGTCATTAGCAACTTAGGCTCTATTGACAGCATTAGTCATGGCATTGTTGGTTTGGTAATACTCGTAATGCTGTCAATAAGGCTTAAGTTGCTAATGGCACCAATTTGCTATTACATCAACATACAGGTAAATTTGTGTCATTATACGACTTAGCTTGACCACTGACTGTAATAAATTGGCCTTGGAGGACTTCAGTATTTTATCTCTCTCCCTATATATATAGCAAGGAAATGAAAATGTCTCAGACGAGTAAAGAAACCAGTAAGATACACACAAAATGCTAACTAGTAATTGAATGATGATTTATTATATTAAATTGTTGTTGTATTACATTGTAATAGACTTTTTTCTTTCTTTGAGGTAACTCATAAGGTCATCTTGATCACGCTGGCAGGGTTCATTTTACATTAATGACTAAATAGCTGCACATTATCGTTTTTTTAAAAAAACCTAAATTAAAGTTTTTATTTGACTGAAAACTGAAAAGTGAAAGTAAAGTTTTGGTAATTCAGTTTGGGTAATTGGGTAACTGAACTCATGCTGTTCAGGATGTTTTGTGTTTCAGTTGTAAAAAAGTTACCTCTCAATATTTCAACCAGTCAAATTTTGCATAGTGCTAATCTAGCATAATTTTGGTCACGGTGAAGTGTTTCAACACTGCTGACATGTTGACATGTTTATTTGTTGTAATTTATCCATGACGTGTGCACAAAATGTATCCACCTTATTTTTCAATGCGGAAGCAAGCCGTTTTCTGTGAATGTGCGAGACTTCCGGTTCATTAGCCACGGTAAGGAAATAACGAGAAGAATAACAAAAGTGCAGTAAACGGTAAAACTGTTTGCACTACAAACCAGTATGTTCATAATTAAGATAATACATTAAAATAAAATGGTAAGACACACCAGTTTGCAATATCAAGCAGTTGGTTGATATTAGTTGATAAGCAGTTGGTTGGTAGCATGACTGCCATGATGTAGCTACACTCAAACCGGAAAAACTGTACTTATGCCAGTAATGAAATGACACAATTACTTGCTTATTCTGTATGCTGTTTACAATACACTCTCAGAAAAAAGATACAAAAGCTGTCACTGGGACAGTACCCTTGTACCTTACTGACCCATAAAAGGTGCATTTTAGTACCTTAAAAGTATAGATTTGTTCCTAAAGTGTACAAATTAGTATGGTATATATATTAGTGCTTTTTAAAAGAGTACTGCCAAAGTGACAGCTTTTGAACTTTTTTTCTAAGTGTAATAAATTGTCTTTAGCATACATGCAACTTAAATTTACGTTGGTTAGAAAAAGGCATTTGTTTAATAAACTTCTTTTGTTCTGGTATTAAACTAATTGTGTTCAAGTTTATTGAACAATTTTTTAAAAAGTGCTAGTTAAATGTCAGTGTTTCAGATAATGATTTCAGCAATTTCAAAACCCATTTTGGCCCTTGTTTTTTTTTTTTTTTTGTCATTCAAATATTTTTGCCTATACCGAAATTTCGGCGCATCAATATTCTGCAGTAGTCAAATTCTCTCCCACTCTTGATAATTATTGGCTAAATAAACCTGAAATACTGAGTGTGGCCAGTATTGATTTAAAAAGAATGTGACAAGCGAGCACTGGTTTTGTTGTGTTTATTGAAAAGGTTTTGATTGACAGCATAATTCCGTCAGGCACAGACTGATAGAGTGTAAAGAGCTCGGAAGGGGCACAACTGAAACAGAACGGAATGTTCCACAGATACAGAGATATGGAAAAATAACACAAAACACTGTTAGTCAACTATTCCATTCTTTTGTTAAACAGAGAGGGATGCAGATGCTGAATGCCTTTAATTCTGCAAACGTGTTACCTCACCGCGTAAAGAAAGAAATCTACATGGAATGCAATGCAATTCTTCTGTAAGAAAATACTGTAAAGAAGCTTTCATCCCTATTAAAACAAAACAAAACAAAAACACACCTATATAAAATCTGCTCGACATATAACAATCATTTGCAAATTTAAATCTATAACTTAATTTAATATCTTAATTCTAGTAAGAGCTGAATGGCACTATCAAATAGAGCTTAAGAGGAAAAAACAAATGCGTAAAATGAAAGAGTGTCGACATCAGACCAGTATTGCTCAACATCCAGCCACTTCCAAAGTGCTGGGAAACACATTGTCCTTTGAAACTGTCTGGATGTTCATTGTAAACATTTAAGAAAACTTTCTTCAACCCCTAAACGCATCTTGGCTCTACCTCCATCCCAAAACACACAAGCATGAAGGAATGAATAAGAGAAGGTCATGGAAGCAAGCGGATGAAAAAAACAAAACATAAATACAAGGAAATAAATAATGTGGGTTTGTGACAAGGAGGGAGAAGGACCAGCAACATTGTTTAATATGTTTGAAACAACGCAAAAGGGCTGTCAGTAGTAGAGCGGAGGATGCGGAGGTAAGCCAGAGGTTACAGGTTGTACAAAAAAAAAAACGAAGCTGAGAGCGTTCGCTTGCCCTGCCATCCCACACCACCAAACAGTAAACGCATAACTCCACACGTAATGGACAATAACTCAAAACACTGTATCCAACAGAACATGATGTCCCTCAGCTGGAAGAAGAAATTACAGAACAAAGTCATCCGTATCTTTAAGAACCCAATCTGAGAATTAAGGTAACGAAGTGCCTTACACATGAGTACTCAGTTCTCATTCGAAGAAACACCCTGCTTATATCTTTTCTTGATGTGGCCGTACATTCAAACCGTACGTCGCAATATTCAGCCACTCAACTCCCTCCCAGGCACTTGACAAGTACAAAAATTCAATGGTTTGCAGGAGGAGGGAGCGACTGCTTCACTCGGCACCTGTACAGTCACCTCCTATCAAATCTACAGTTTTCGTAGTTTAGCAGCAAGCGAATCATCCTCTTTTTTCCCCCATTATATATTATTGCCGGCTTTCTGCTTGAATGCAATTGTCTGAGGACACCCTGAGACACGACCAAGCTATCCCATAATGCTTCGCTTAGATTCGCAGGGCCAGAGACACTCATCTGACAACCATGCACGCTAGAGTTGAATAGCAATAACGGTTCTGTACTCATTAACATAAAACTCAGAGCAGAGAGAAAGATTTTGGCACTTTGCAAACATACCGACCCGGAGGATTAACTCAAAATGTTATTATACATATTCATTAGCAAAAGAGCAAATAAGAGCGACAAACTCATAATATGGTTTCACCATATATCTATATGCTATGGTAGGTTTTACCCACATAGCACTCCTTCATATCATAGAGCTGGATGAAAAGACCACAGCGCTCATAATCAGAGAAAACCAACACTGTTTTTTGAAATACTATGGTGAACGGATCTCATGCATGGAAGCCCAAATATGGAGATTTTTTTTAAATATACAAAAATGATGAAAAGTGCTTTATGTGTGAGTCTGACTGGAGTTAAAACTACACACCGGTGCAGTTTCCTCATGAAGATCAGAAGCACTTGTGGTCCTTTTATCATTAAATTCAATACTGAGATACGGGCAAAGCAATTTCTGGCGTACTTGTTTCGTGTTTAGAATTCATAATTTCATCATTTTGCTCTGCTGATATCGCCAATTAGCTTCTCATACATTCTTGTCACTGTAAACTAAGAAATGGAAGAAAACAAGCAAAAATAAAATACAACCCACCGGTTGAAATCTTGCACTTCTGTGGTAAATAACTTACAAAATTTTAAAGAAAAACCCTTTGTTTACAGCACCAAGACCCGACTATAATTTTAGACCCCCTTAAAAACCTTACGTCTATAAATAGCTTTACAAATATACATGTTAATTCAAATAAAACTTTTGTTTTGCTTTTTTAAGATTAAATGTTTACATGATCTCAACAGTGTATGCTCACTTGCTTTTAAAATGTCATTCTTTTTTCATTCGTTTTTTTTTTAAGTACACTGCTACCGACTGCAATATGATACATATTTATATCTATATATTTACAATAAAAACTATAAGATACGTACAAAGCACACAGTTATATATCGTCTAATTATATCTCACATCTAGGAGACCTTTCTCTCTTTTCTTATTAAAAAAGGATGAAAAATGTTCTTTGTGAGGAGAGGAGTGGAGAGGAGAGACTGGCCATGGGTTTGATTCTCACTCCAGTCAGATATTGCTGTAAAACCACTTCCTGTCCATGTGTGCCAGGACGACTCTGTCCGTTGCTTCAGAACCGTGCTGTAAAACAGTGTCGATCCGTTCTTTTTGTTTCCGGTCCAGTAATTTGTCTGTTTTGTTTTTTTTGGTAGGCACGGAATGGTGTGACCCTTCTGACTGCAAAGGAAAAGCGAAACTGGCCAAATATAAAAATAGGAATTCTCTTTTCATAGACAAAAAGCTGAATAATGATTTGAAAGAAAAGGAGCTGAAGGAGAGGGGTGTAATCCGTGATTCAGACCTGTGAGCAGTTGGAAGTCTGAAGCTTCTCGTTGAGCGTTTCATGAGATCCACACTTAACCAGGAGCCCCGTCTGCACTGCCTCCACATGCTGGTCCAGTGCAGCGAACCGGAAGGTCCCCACAAACCACCATTTCTGTCCTGGGTCCTTATGTTTGTATGACCCCATTGCTGTGGAGGTGGTGTTTAGGGAGGCAGGGCTCGTCAGGTAAAGGGTCGTGAGCAAACACAGAGTCGTCGCCAGAGGAACAGGTGCTGTTAGAGTCTGGACAGGTAGGGGAATACTGTTCAAACGACACCGACAGGTCCAGATACTCCTGATGGATGAAACACACACACATCAGAATTGGCGAGTTCAGGTTAATAAGAGTTAAGGTGTTTGGTTTGCTAAACAAGAGCTTACATCAGTGGAGGTCATGGAAAGAACCCTGTCGTGATCCTCCACCAGCTGTCTGAACGTGGGCCTTTGTGAAGGAACAGCGTGCCAACACTCCCGCATAATCATGTACCTGCACAAATCACAACACAAAACAATACATGCATTTAATACATGCCAGAAATACAATTTTCATACTAATGGGTAATAGGTGCATCCACGTCATGTTGGAATTACTGTAATTATGAGATTCAGACTTGTAAAAAGCAGTTTTGTAATTACTTTTAATAACTCGTAAACTGACTTTTCCGAGAGCACATGCACAAAAAACAACTCTAAATGATGCCAGCATCAGGTAAATGTAGTTTATCTTGTAATATTTTATGTTTAATTCCTATAAATGACTATTGTTGATATTTTAATAATGCAAGAATAATCTGAAAGTAAACGATAAACAATACAGTTGGATAACTAATGTCCTGCTAAATAAACTAGCTTAGGCATTTGCACAACAGATGTTACTTGTTTTATTGTGGGTTTGTCTATTGATTACTCAAATTACACAGATTAATGGTCATATAAACATCATTTTGAGTTTGAGGATGTGAACAGTTTTCGAATAGAACGTCTGGATTGCCGTCTAGTAATTACAAAGTACAGTAATTAGGACATGAAGGCAGCAAATATTGAATTGTGACGTTTCTGATAAAAATAAAATGCATTTTTGTTCAGGTTTGCTTGTTTGTCAGGCTGCACAATTTGTCCCAAAAAATTTTTTTTTGTGTGTGTGTGTTATTTTATGTTACTATTATAAATAAACAAACAAAAAAGATTTTTTATAATTGTAATAATATTATTTCACTGTAAAATAAAGGAGTATTTGATCTCTCTCTCTCTCTCTCTCTCTCTCTCTCTCTCTCTCTCTCTCTATATATATATATAGTATTGTAAATATATATATATATATATATATATATATATATACACACACAATGCTATATACTATATACACAACACACAATACTAAATGTTTTTGGCTACCTTAATTTCTTCATTTTGAAACATTAAACAGTGGAGTTTTATTGATTTGTTTCTTCTCTTTTTTATATTAAACTAAATTGTAGCTTTTGTGATTTAATAATCGCACTAAACCATATTGGTATTAATCATTCAGCCCTATTTTACAGCTTTATTTTAAGAGAAGAATAAGAAGGTCTTAAGAGTTTTCTAGATGAAAAGCAAAGAAGATCAAAAGCGTACAGTTCATGAGTGCAGTTTGCAGGTTTGTCCATCCGATGACCCTCCTTCAGCAGTTTAAAGAGCTCCTCCACTGGGATACCTGGGTACGGTGAGCCGCCCAGTGTGAAAATCTCCCACAACAACACTCCGTAAGACCACCTGAGATGCAAGAGAGGTCACAGTTCAGAACAAATAAGAGGCAACAATCACACATTTACAGTACAGTACAAAACATAAGTCCAATTCAATGATAAATGAAGTGTCTAAACACTTGTTAGGCCTGTATATGCTGGTTGTGCTTGAAATAGTAGAGTCACAATACTCTCACTATTTGTCTGTCTGCCTGTCTCTCTCTGGGGTGTAGATACTTGGCAGATGAGAGAGAGGAGTTTTGTTGGTTCTCACTGAGGCTTATAATGTATGTTGGTGATATGAGACGTGAGTCTATTAAACTAGAGTGAGTGTGTGTGCGCACATGTGTATGTGGGTGAGTGTTATCACAAGCTGCTCTGTTAACTCAGGGCTCTTTTGTTTTGGCCCCATTCCTCCCACGCCACCACTGAGCAGTGCTAATCAAATTAGCCACGCTAAGAGACAACAGGAGCTATGAGCCAGTTAATGCTACCCGGCCAAACACACACACACACAGTCAGTTAGAAGCCTTATGGGGGCTGAATAATTGGCTCGTCATTATATCACTATCCATTCATTAGCTTTATGTTGGAGTCAAATCTCATTTACGCCCATCAGCGTGGTGCTCACACAAACTCACACACATACAGAGCAGATTGAGTGAATGAAGGGCTCACTGCTCATATATCATAGCATAAGTACAGCCTATAGGCAGAGGCAAATGATATTATTCTATTACTGCTGTCTCAGGCCAACTGTGATTAAAGAGTATTTAGACATATTGGAAAGTGCAGCTCCGGGTACCAGTCTGAGTGTGATGAATGGGTGTTCGGTCTACTGAGAGACAGTGTGTAGTATACTAACATACTAATCAAAACCTGCTGTGCAAACACAGACACACACACTACCGTTCAAAAGCTTGGGGTCAGTGAGATTTTTTTTTTTTTTATTGAACACGTTTATTAATCTATTTAAGGATGCATTCAATTGATCAAAAGTGACAGCAAAGACATCTATAATGTTACAGAAGGTTTCTATAATAAATAAATGTTGTTCTTCTGAACTTTCCATTCATCAAAGACTCCTGAAAAAAATAACAAAAATATTAAGCAGCACAACTGTTTTCATTGATAATAAGACAATAATAATAATAACATTGATAATAGTAAGAAATGTTTCTTTATCACTAAATGAACAAATTATGATGACTTCTGAAGGATCATGTGACACTGAAGACTGAAGTAATTATGCTGAAAATTCAGCTTTGTATCACAGGAATAAATTACATTTTATAATATATTTAAATTGAAAACAGTTACTTTAAATTGTAATGATATTTTACAATATTGATGTTTCTACTGTATTTTTGCTCAAATAAATGCAGCCTTAAGATTATAACTTTCCCTCATTTCTGAACGATAGACTAGCACAAACACCAATGTTTGCTAAACAAATCAGATTTTTGTAATATATATATATATATATATATATATATATATATATATATACACACACACATTTATATTTATGTAATAACATATTTATGCTGATTCATTACATGATTTTTTGTGAATTAGACTATACTAGTCATGCTGTATGATTATTGTTGAGTGCAGCCTGCAAAAGAACAGAAAGATGTGTTGTCTTTGTTTTATTTCTCTCTTTTTAACTTAGGTCAAATATGTTTTTTTTCACATCTCTGAACATCACCGGTGATTTCCAGTGTAGGAAACACTGGCACGCTCTCTTGGATGGCTTTGATGCTATTGTTGCAGGGTTATGGTGTTCACTTGCATTCCTTTACCGCTTGATGAACTTTATGAACAGATGGCATGAAGTGATGGAGGAAAAAAGAAGAGCTATGCATGGCAATGTAAACTCACACATCGCTCTGGTGCGTGTAGACGCGGTCGAACAGTGCTTCTGGTGCCATCCATTTGACGGGCAGACGACCCTGAAAGGACACAGAACAGTCAGAACAACAGTGGTGCTGACCCAGATAGACATACAGACACCCAACGAACATCAACAGGCATGCAGCTTAATCTCCTACTGTCCTGTCTAATGCAAATACACTTCAGCAGTCCGCGTCAACATCGTTCCGCTCTCCGATGCTCTTTAATCTCCAACTGTCCCATCCAATATCCAAATACTTCCCCAGCCACACCTCACATCTAAAACCCACCGTCACAACACCTAACAGTTCCATTAAACACATTTCCGTTTATTGCACCAGTGTTAGGGAAACTAAGATTATCTTGCTAAAAGCTATTATAATCATATTTAAGGTACTTCAACTACAGTAAAACCAACTGTTTAAAAAGGAGAAAGCACACTACATGCTATTAACAAAAATGTAACTACACTGAAGGTATATAAGCAATTTCATTTAAATTATATCCTATAATCAGTGCTGGGAAGTAATTGATTACATGTAATCTGGATTACGCAATCAGATTACAAAAATTAGGTACCTGTAATTATATTATATTATATTTTAAAATGCTCATTATCAGATTACAGTTACTTTTTTATGGATTACATGATTACATATTGTTCACACAAAGATAGTAAATTATTTATCATTTATTGACTCTCCCTAATTATTATTTTTTTCTCTTTTGAAATGTACTTTCTAGAAAACCCTACTGTGTTTAATAGCATTTAGCTTTGACTATATTAATAATATAGAATGGCTATTTAAATGGCATGTAAATAAATTGGTGATCCATGCTTCTAAAATTGGGGACAAAAGGAACTCTCAATGAGTTAGGCCATGTATGTGATGGATAATTATGTAAGTTACTTACACTGCTGATATATAGCTGTGAAACACTATATCTCCATCACATCCAATGACTTTGACTAATTATTGATTTGGACAAATGTCTGGACAAAAATATAAAAGTAAATAACATAAAAATCTAAAAGTAATCAAACAGTAGTCAGAATACATTACCTAAAATGAGTAATCTAACCGATTACATTACTAACTAAATTTTTTTGTCATGTAATTTGTAATCAGTAATGGACTACAATTTGCCAGCACTGCCTATAATTTTCAGATTACATTACTGAAAATAGCCAAGTCACTATTTTCAATCCCAAATGTATATTCTGCAACAAAAAAGACACAGGAATGAGTTCAGAATGAGTTCTACCGACACAAAAGGTGCTGATTCGAATGACTTTGTGAATCATTTTTTAACCAGTTCATCACAATGAATGGAAAACAAGTGTTTTTTCCACAGCTAAGCTAATGTCATGTTACTGAAAATGTAGTGAATTTACTGTAGCAGCACCCCTAGTCTTAGCTAGTTGCTTCCCAGAAGCTACTGTATTTCACAATGTACTGCAGGCCAGGTAAACTGTGATGTGTTCAATACTGCCCAGTCCTCACCAATACCCACACGTTCGTATTACCAACTCCAGACCTCAATCAACAGTTAATTAATTCTCATAAATGCACCTTCAAAAGTTCCTAAACTAAGCACACACAAAATTCAACACCTGCAGGCTTAACATTTGAAATACAGTGTGCAACCACATCCGCTGAGTTTCACTCCAATGCCACCCAAGAGCGCTGTCCTTCAAGCATTCTGAGATTGATAATAGTGTCGACTTACGTTGGTGGTCTTCTTGTAGTAGTCAATGTTGTGCACATCTCTAGCCAGGCCAAAGTCTGCAATCTTCATCACGTTGTCCTCGGTTACCAGAACATTCCGAGCCGCAAGATCCCTATGGATACACTGGCAACACAAACAGAAAGAGGGTCATCTTTTATGCTCAAGTCTGATAAATACACGCTATGATGTACACATCTGGAAAATAATAACTGGCATCCGTAGCCAGCATTTATAAACTTTATAAACAATTCAAGCATATTAAATTATTTCTATTTGAAAAAGTTTACAAACTGAGATAAGTAGATGTGTTACCTTCTTTGAGGCCAGGTACTCCATACCCCTGGCGACCTGATAGGCGCAGGACACCAGATCTTTAAATGTCAGAGTTTCATTTGGGATTTTACAAGTGTCAAACGAGTAGTCCATCCCAGGAGGCCTTCTCGCCCGCAAGTATTCCCTAAGATTTCCTTTAGAGGCATATTCCACCAGCACATACAGAGGACCTGCGTGAACACAGTCAGAAACAGTTCAGTCAGAAAAATCTAAACAGACAAAAGCTAAACATACTGGAAAAAAATCCTGGATACTGCATACTGACCATCTTGTGAGCACGCTCCCAACAAGTTGATGATGTTCTTGTGTTTTCCAATCATCTTCATCATCTCCATTTCAGACACAAGGTCCGAGAGGTCCTTATCTGTGCCGTCATCTAAGAAAACAGTCAAATATTATTACAATTTATAAGAACTGTTTTCTGTTGTAATATATTTTCAAATGTAATTTATTCCTGTGATGGCAAAGCTGAATTTTCAGCATCATTACTCCAGTCTTTAGTGCCACACGATCCTTCAAAAATCATTCTAATATGCTGATTTGGTGCTCCAGTAACATTTCTTATTATTATCCATGTTGAAAACAGTTGCTTAATATTTCTGTTGTTTTTGTTTTCTTTTTTTTTCAGATTATTTGATGAATAGAAAGTTCAAAAGAACAGCATTTATGTGAAATAGAAATATTTTTCAGAAAAATGTTACTGACCCCAACATTTTGAATGGGAGGATATATTATTAGTATATTAGTATTTATTATTTAATTACAGTTAAGCACACTCACTGTATTTATGATATTTTTTGTGCACTGGGACTAATGTTTATTTTATATTTTTTGGCATTCAGTAAAAAAATATATAATCTGGAATTTAATTTATACACACTCACCTTTGAGCATCTTGACAGCAACAGTGAGAGGTTTGTTGGGTTTCTCTTTGTCAATCCCAATGGCTTCAGCCATCACTACCTGCCCAAAGCAACCCTCTCCCAACGGTTTCCCCAGCGTTAGTCTACAACAGAATCATCAATCAGCAAGGGACAAAACTCACAAATATTATGGTCATTTGATGTTCACTTCAGCTTGTAACTCACTTAGTACGTGGAAATTCCCACTTGGGGTCAGAGGGCAGTTCAAGTTCAGAAACGTTGGGCAGCATGGGCCCATCACCAGATGACAGGCGGGCGATCCGGACCAACGGGGTGTTTGAATTCATGGAAGAGTTAGATTCCAAGGACACCTGCTTGGGTAAAGAATAAAAACAGCATGTTATTGTCCCTGAAAGAGAATAAGACCGTGAAAATAAGAGCAAGACAGAGAGAGGAAGGATCAAGATGTCTATTTTAAGAATATCATCTACTCTGAAGTGTTGTGTGTTGCAGACAGAAGTCAGAGTGCTTCTGAGAGAGAGGTTTGTAGCTGTCAGATCTCCACATAATGGACCACAGAAGACTGTATGAAGCAACATTTCAGTGCTTCCATGCACACATAGCTATCATCTGGAGTTTTGCTGTTGTCTTGTATCCAAAAATTGCTTGGGAGCCACCAGCTCAACTGGCTCTCTTTTTTTTCTTTCTTCCAACTAACATCAACGGCATCATCATAATGTAATATTTTCATCCCAAACTGTGGTTTCTCTCCAGCACTGATTTGCATCTTTTTAGCCATCCATAACTGTCTTTGCACAAGAATCAACACACAAAGTGTGCTGAATGTCATGACAACGGCATGTTTGCCTTAACTTGAGCACTATTCTTTTAGTTCCTTGCGAGCACTGCTATTTCCTTTAGGAAATGCAAATCTGTGTAGGCTTTCATGAGACACTGAGAAAGTATGTCAGCGGTAGGAAGATCAAACTGTCTGACAATGATATCTCAATATTTTCTAAAATCAGAACTGGCTCAAAATACACACCTACACACACACACTATTTGAATGAAAGAAACAAAAAAACACTACAACGTGATTATGTAGCTTGCGTTGATTCCAGTGTGACATTGTCAGGCTTTGATTGCTGGAAATAACTTGAGGGAAAAAGAAGAAGAGATTGAGAGAGCGACAGAGATTAGAGAGAGATTGTGTGTGTCAGCTGCAGCTGCTGCGATTTAAAATGTTTAAAACAACTGAGAGAGAGAGAGAGTTTCACCAGGAGAGAAACATGATATAAACACTGGCAGTCTCCAGGAGAGCATGAATATCCCTCTGCCACATCACATCTATGACATCCACACAGTGTATGTCTTCATAGATACCAATAGCCCAAAGACATACTACAACAGCTTTACATTAAAGAGTGAAAGAAGATAGGAAATAGGCTGATCAAATCTTGTATCTACTTTCTGTTACCTGTCTCTTGAGGGGGAATTTGGACAGTTTTTGAACGGGCAGTGTGGGGAGAGTCTTCTGCGTGTTCATCCGCATACGGCAGAGGATAATGATGACCATGGTGAGGATGAAGAGCACGCAGCCTGTCACGTAGATGAGGATGTCCGCATAGTCATCCTCTCTCTTCATCTCTACCGCTGACACAGAGCACAAGAGCACAGATTAGACGTGCGGTGATTACATTATGAGACAAATGTACTAATGTGTTGCACTATACATGAAACAATGACTGTTGTGAATGGTAGTACGTCTGAATTACATTCATACAACACACCATACTATTTAGAACATCCTTTATAAACAGCTGCGAATTAAGTTCTTATTTAAAAGAAGTACCTACTCAGAAATATGTGAATTTCAGACACGACGATCGATTAAAATGTTTTAAAATGGCTCACTTTTCTATTAGTGTTGTCTATTGTCAAGGTTCGAGCGCTTAACAAGTGCCAAATGCAAGTAATATTTGATGAGCTTTGCTTTGATGAGAAAATAACTGATTTTTTACTGGGGACTGCAACATAATATAATAAATCAAAGTGTGATAATGTCTGATGTAAGCAACACAAATGATTCAAAGACATACAAACCATCTTCAAACAACTTTTCCTCAGTGCAAAATCTGTTTAAAAGTCTCGAGAACTAATGTGGCAAGACACATGTGGAATATAA